AGAACTTTTTGTTTTAAAATTAGATTATGTATGACAAAAAACTTGTATGCTTAAAAAACTTGTCTCAGTCAAAGGAGTGTCATTTTATTTCTCTTTTTGTACTCTGAACAAGAAAAAGCAGATGTAACTGAACAGCCTCAAAATTACGAATAAAATAGAATTATTCACGTGAATAATCAGTAAACCTGGTAAGATGGGCGGATAATTTCTGGTGAAGTTAATAAAAGTTTATTTATAACAAAATGTTGTCCTGTTAGGGTTAGGGCGTCGACTATCTCAATTAACACAATCAAGATACTCATTTACTGAGCCGAAGTAAATAGCACCCAGTATATAGTTAATTATTGTTATAACATCATACTTTTTCTGGAGAGAGCTTACGCAAATATAGGGAGAAGCGGCGTGTTCTCGTGTTGGATACCAAGAAAGTAAGTGAGTGTGCGATTTTATTAAGCTTTATTGGAGTCATTTATAAAATAGCATTTAATAAAAACAAATAGATTTCATTTCACCAATATCGATTATAACATTAAACAAGGCCGCAGTTTGGTATTTTTGTTCTTTGTGCATGGCCAAAAAACGACATACTGGAAATATCATGTGCGCAGCTCTTGACACATTAATTTAACACAAGAACAATATAACGAGCAGCCCTTGACGCTCTGCCTATAGTGTCATGTTGAAGATATACCCATAAATGTAATATTGTTTCATCGTGACACACATTGATTTAATTCCACTCTTATTAATATTTTATTGCCTGTCTACTCTGTGATCCGATATACGGTTGCTTAAATTTATAATAGTAAGATCTAAACATTTTCGAAAAGTACATACCACATGAGTGTAAAATTATCTCACCGTTGGTGAAATAGAGGAAGTCATAATCATACGAATTTCCACCATCCGCTCGTGTTCACCACATTGTACCATGAGTCTCGTCTACGCTAAATGCCAGAACAATCGTACTCACCGATGACAGTGAAATCATTTCGTGTATACTCGTATATTCGATTTAGAGTACCAATCAATACCCAGACCTTTACTAAATGGCAGGACTCTTTTTCTGCCTGGGTATGTACCACAATTTTGTTGTACATACCCAGGCAGGGTGGCATTGCTGTATTGTGGATTGAAGTATATAAAAAAACAGTATTATTACGGATTGTAAAGCAATTATATCTTAGTAGTCAGGGGTAACAACACATTTGTATCATCTTTGTATAAAGTTTGACTGCAGGTGTTATGGACTGCAGTAGTCAAATACCGTCATTTGGACTGACTCTTGTGTTACATCAGATTCAAATCAAAATAAGAAATCTAAAACATAACAAAAATAAGAAGTCTAAACGATTATGGAAAACTTTTAATAGTATGGTAGAGGTTCATTTCTAGCAGTGAATATTAACCGTCACCGTTACCGTTACAGCCTACTAAAGTCCACTGCTGAATATTAGGCTCCCCCACAGATCGCCTACTAGGGAGGACATATACCATATTTGCCACGCCGGGCAAGGGGGTTAGCAACCGCAGTTTCTTTTAGTCATACATAAGTTTTATTATTTTTATTTTCAACCCTACTATTCATCTATTGATTTCTTTACTTCAGTTGCCTCTTAAGGCACTCACAGTATGATAATGGGGTAGCGGGTGTTCTTACACCTTCACTACCCGGTACAACGATTGTAAAGGTGTGGTAAAAATGACAAACCTCCATACAAATTTTGTATGTTAAGCCTATTCTTTAATGAATTTCCTCTATCAATATTTTTTATATTAGCGACGTATAACATAACATAACCTCTGCTCTTACGTCAAGTTTAAGAATAAATTTAAGAAATCATAAAATGTTATCATTATGTCTATACGTCGTAGAGCCACGCTGCTATATTATGGTTGTAGCACAAATGAATCGACCCGATTGGGCAAAGTATACGCTCTCACAGAAAGCTTGATCTCAAATAATGAAAGTATAGTAATATAAAGTATATATATATATATATATATATATATATATATATATATATATATATATATATATATAACCGGAGATCCTTAGGGATGACAACGTATTCTGCGTTTTGATTTTTAATCGTGGATAGATGTGGATGTCTGTGGGCGGTGGACTGTGTGCTCGTTTGTTATACTTATTATACAAAAAGAGTTTTTTTTTTATATTTTATTAAATAAATATTTAGCCAATAAAGTGTGAGCAACACAAAATATAATGTATGTAAATAATTATATTTAATCAATTAGTATTAGGAAGTGAAATCAGACATAACATCGAGGCGCCTGATATAACAATAACCGCAATATAGCGTAAAGTGGTTATCATTCTCGTTCTAATGTCTTGAAACTAAATCAACAAACAAGCAATTATTAACTTCACTAAGTGAATAATTGCTTGTTTTTTGATTTAATAAAGTGATATTTTATATTGTACAGGTACAATATAAAAATATCACATTATTTAGAAACAACAATGACGGAAAAATATTCGAATATGATTAAACAGCTCTGTATAAAAACTACACAGAGTATAAGAAAAAATAATAGAAATAAAAAATTAATAGAAAAACAGAAATTTAAAAATGCTGTCTTTTAAATTATGTCCATCTAATATAAAAGAGAAAAAAAAGAGAAAAAAATTATGGCATAATTAAAAATAAATGATAATAATTAAACCAAAAATTAAACGTTATACTTATTTTGTTCGTTGAAAAGCCACGTTGCAGGTATATTATGCTTGTAGACTGGTTAGTCTCGACCGAGGAAAGATCACCACCTCACATGCGTGATGTCTATGGGCCACTGAATCCTCATAATACTTCTACATATGACTAATTTAAATAGTTAATTTAAATAGGAGATTGGTATGAGCATCACCTGATAACTGCTTAGAATAATAAAAAACACCTATTAGTTGCCCTAATTATGCCCCTAAGAGGCGATCTTGGGGGAGGCTCATGTTCGACACTGAAATTTCACAGATAAAATAGCAATATCTTAGCGTAACTGAAACCAACAAACTCTTGCCTTGAAAATATCCAAATTTTTATCCAACGGAAAGATACGAATATCCACCATCCGTTCGTGTTTACCACATTGTACCATGAGTCTCGTCTATGCTAAATGCCAGAACAATCGTACTCACCGATAACAGTGAAATCATTTCGTGTATACTCGTATATTAGATGTAGAGTACCAATTAATAGCCAGACCTTTACTAAATGGCAGGACTGTTTTTGATGTCTGAGTATGTACCACAATCTTGCCTATTTCTGCCGCCAAATAGGAGTGGTTGAATTGCTGTATTGTGGATTGAAGTATATAAAAAACTAGTTTTATTACGGATTGTAAATCAATAATATATTAGTAGTCAGAGGTAACAACGCATCTGTATCATCTTTGTATAAAGTTTGACTGCAGGTGTTATGGACTGCAGTAGTCAAATACCGTCATTTCGACTGACTCTTGTGTTACATCAGATTCAAATCAAAATAAGAAATCAGTGACACGGAACAGAGTCTAAGCTATCAAAATCGTTGCGATTATGGAAAACTTGCATTGCTGTATTGTGGATTGAAGTATATAAAAAACCAGTATTATTACGGATTGTAAAGCAATTATATCACACTCAATTATATAACTCACTCTTGCCTTGAAAATATCCAAATTTTTATCCAACGCAAAAGATAGATGCAGTGGCATTTTATTCCACTCCTTTGCTATACTCATTACGAACGACGAAGCAAACTGTTTAATTTGAACGTGTAGAATATCTTATTTCCCTGGGTTCACCCAACTTTACTATTTTAGAATTTCTTGTCCGAAAATGTAATAAAAACATTAAGTAAGGGTCCTTCAAAATTTTAGTACCTACTTAACTATTTTTTGAAACAAAGTGATGTTGGACAATATGAATCATGATTAATGTTTAAATAACGTTAAATTATTTTCAATTTAAAATTTAATGTAACGTGTATATTACCTAAATATTTATCTTATTAGATTAAATAACATATATTATGTATGTACAATTTAGTTTATTTTATGTATATAGCAATAATATTTGTTTTTACATCTTACCTGGCAGATAATATCGTTAGGCATTAAATTTGCTCTTTGTCATATTGTTTAGAAAGATTTAATGAATAAATATCGACAATAAAGCCGGCTGTCTGGTTGTCCGATGGTTGAGAGGGTAGGGAGTATTTCATTTCAATGGTGATATATAACCTACAAATAAAGAGTAACCTATTTCGATGAAGTTTGAAGTACATTTCTCTTTTAATCTGATCGAAAATGTAACATTTACCAATTTGTTCACTCCATTGACTTATGACGCAATTTTCCGTTCCATTTACTGCCATCGTTTTCGTAAATTTAAGATAAAACTTTTTTTTAAACCTAGAAATAGTTAAACTGTGATCATTATGTACAGTATAAGGAAATAATAAATTCAAAATTAAGTTTAAGTTTTTTAAATGTACGAAATTAATATGACCGTAACAATATCAATCACTTGTACGAAGCAACAAAATCACATGAAATGTTTAAAGTAAGATCCATTTTTGTGATTAGATCTATGGATAAGGTAAAATTAGTTCTTGTCTGAATTTTATCACTTTTTCTATAATAGTTATATTAGCGAAATACCCCTAACTGAATGACTCGATGATTGACGATTGATTGTATAGTTACTCATTTATCAATGAAGACGCTCACCTACAAAGCAATTTACGATCATCCCATAAAAAATATCTTGATATTTTTATCTAAGTTATTAACCCATATAGGCCTACCGTACCCTATGTGGTACAGTTACTTTGTAAAATAATTTTGATGTACCCACAAATTATTAACTTTTTTGGTTAGTTGTGGCAGATAACTCAGAGTATTAGTTTTATATCAACAATATAACATACACATTTTATGCGAGTTATTATCAGTTTATATTAAAATTGCTAGACAGAAACGGAAAAAAACAATTTACAATGTCTTCAAGAAGGTAAGTTTCATGTTATCTATAGTAAATCATATTATTTGTTGGTATTATTTTAAATACTAGGCTACAATAGACGTAATAGCTACAAATAAGTTTCACTTGGGTCATTTTAGTAAGGTGTACACAGTGCTAGATTAGGTGTATCATATATGGTACAGTAGGTCTATGTATGAGCACAAAATACCTAAGTCAATTTACATATTATTATATTAGCTTTTTATTTATCTTTTTGTGTTTTATTGTTTTAGGTCATTGACATTACATGAAATTGCTACAGTTCTTGAGGAAGATGATGATTTTAGCAACCAGAGACAAGATTTTGATATTTTTTTACTTCCACCTGACACCGCCAATGATTACCAAACTGACGAGGACTCGGGTGAAGAAGATAACGTCAGCATAAATAATTTGCCTGGAAGTTTGCTTCGAGCTCCAGCGGAGCTTGCTGCCTCAACCTCAATGGAAAAACCAGAAACTGAGGACCAAACCCCTCCCGAATTTCAAGAACCTTTAAAAAAACGTGTCATGAATTACAATTGGCGAAAACGAGACTTGCAGCTAAGACCTATTGTTTGGAAACCCCTTTATCATACTCCTATTGAAAGAAGCCCGATAGAATGGTTTTCTTTATTATTTTCAGAAGAAGTATTTGAGATGCTTACTATTGAAACCAATAGATACTTAGCACGTAAGCTTCTCTCTGCTGACGTCAAGATTGAAGAGATGAAATGTTTGGTAGGGATTTTGTTAGTCAGTGGCTACTGCCAAGTGAGCAGAAGAAGAATGTACTGGGAAAATGCATCTGACTCAAGAAATAGTTTGATTGCTTCAGCCTTGTCTCGAGATAGATTTACACTAATTTACTCTAATATTCATGTTGCTGATAATCTAAATTTAGATACATCCGATAAATTTGCAAAAGTTCGTCCTTTATTAAAAGTTTTAACTATGAGGTTTCTTGAGCACTGTCCACATAAGGAGAATCATAGTGTTGATGAGGCTATGGTCCCATATTTTGGTCATCACGGCTGCAAACAGTTTATTAGAGGCAAGCCTATAAGATATGGATACAAATTATGGGTTGGTGCAACATCAGGAGGTTACATTGCATGGTTTGAACCATACCAAGGTGCTTCTACATTTACGAATGCCCAATATTCCCAGCTTGGTCTTGGTGCAAGTGTGGTTTTGTCTTATGCAGATCAACTAGCAACATTAGGCTATGGAAAAAACTACCATCTCTTCATAGATAACTTTTTTACCGGTTTGCCTTTGGTTCATGAACTTACTGAGAGGGGATTTCGTGTAACTGGTACTATCAGAGAAAATAGATCTGGAAAGTGCCCTCTATTAAGTAACAAAGAAGCAAAGACAAAAGAAAGAGGCTTTTATGATTATCGCATATCTGATGATATTATAATTTGCAAGTGGCATGACAATAGTATAGTGTCAGTATGCTCTAATGCAGTTGGTGTTGATCCTGTCCACAAAACTGAACGCTATTCTCAGCAACTAAAAAAAGAAAATATCTGTTTCTCAACCTCATCTCATTCAACAATACAATAAAAATATGGGTGGAGTAGATTTATCAGATCAGAATATATCGTCATTGCGAACTAGCATTCGAGGAAAAAAGTGGTATATGCCTCTGATTCTCCATTGTATAGACATGTCTGTACAAAATGCATGGCTGCTGTACAGACATAATGGAGGGAATATCGACTTGCTAAACTTTCGACGTCGTATTGCAAACTATATTATCGATTGTAATAAACAACGCGAAAGGCCAGGTCCTAGTCGACCATCTTCAATAACATCAGACTCTCGATACGACGGCAAAGAACACTATGTCAGCAAGCAGGAAAAGAGGACCAGGTGTGGCCTATGCCACAAACAATGTCCTACAAGATGTGTCAAGTGCAATATCGGTGTCCACGTAGAGTGCTTTATTATGTATCACACCAAAAAGTAAATAAAATCTAATTAGTAAAATCATGTCTTTTTTTGCATACATATAGTCCTACTGTACCATATGTGGTACGTCCCTTCAGTCGCCCCCCCTCTTATTAATTTTTTTTTAAATATTTTTCCCCCGGTTTTTAGGCTTTCTTGGATCAGGTTTTGTTAATGAAACATGAATTTTTCACAAAAATAATTATCGGTCTAAATGGGTTAACCTCTATGCGCCCAGCGAGGCGTGCTAATATCAGCTAGTCTTAATTATTGGCACACTCACTTGGCGGCAAGTAGACACTTACATAATACAAATTCTGTAACTACTTTGTTAGTAATGTAACTTTTTAGCGTAAATTATTCTTGACTTACTATATATTTAACGCGTTTTATTTTGAATTATGTCTGGTTTCATTCATTACATTGAAAACGCATTGTTTTATTTTACGAGCCATTTTACTAATAATAAAGTGGATGACACCCCATTTTTAAACAAAATTCCAGTTCAACTACTGATGGACTGTTTAAAGTTTTTTTTTTATATTCAGTCATCCTAAGTTTCTAAATGTTACTGCCGGCGAAAGTTTTTTTGAAAGTAGGAATCGGGCACTAGTAATAATGTCTCTAAAATCTTTTCAAATTAATATAATCGTATAAAAAAGAAAAACCATAGCAAAATATGTTTATAGTATTTTGGATGTACTATTATTTATATTTTGTAGTTAATGAATACGAATAGCAAAAGACACAAACTCATTTCGAGTTTTCGTAGTTTTTCCATTGTAAGTTCAGCACGCAACCCAGGGATTACGTTGCAATTTTGTCTTGCCGTAATATCCATCGCACGTTTCACTTTTTTCGTAATCTTTTTTTTTTTCGTTGTAAATTTATTTTTCACAGCGCAGAATATAAATGTTTTACAAGAAGTGATGACGGAGAAATATTAATGTAAAGTTAATAAGGATTATTTACCAAGTAAAATATTTATGTTTTATTATGTTAAAATATGTTACTTACTACCTTATACCATTATACAGTGAATGCGAACAATATAAAATAATATTTTCGTTCACTGAATTTAAAAATGCTTGTGTTCATTAACTAATACATAGTTCAAAAATGCTGTAACAAGTCATTAACTTTTTTTTTTGAAAAACTGGATCACAAACCTCAACGATATAAATGAAAAGAAACAAAGCCGGCAGAATCAAATTAAAAAACTTTTAATGAGAGTTTAAATTATTCTTAATTATGTAAATATATTACACGCCAAGCGAACCGCAGTCTTTTGTTATCATTTGGAATTAAGATAATCATCAACGACAATTTTTTTTACCGATTTTTTATAATTTCACAAAAAACAATCAACGCTTGACAGACAAACGTTTTGATAATAATCATTCATGTGTTAATGGCCAGTTAATTTTTATACATGTTATACGCCCATAAAACCACCGAAAAAAATGTTGCGAACTCGGCCGTCACAGAGGCATCACACATACACATTTTAATGTTTTACTTACATTTCATTACATTTCCTCTCGCTCTTCGCGTTCTTGAGTCTTTTTCTTTAAGCTTACGTAATTATGGCATCATATTTGTTAGCCAAGACCCGGGGTGGCTTATTGACCACTTCCTACATTTCAGTTTTGGCATGCTAGTAACGTATCTACTTTTTTTAAAATATACATATTATTTTAATGGCACGCAAATAATGCTAAGTGGCAGTTTTTTCGTTTTAACAGACAGGCACTTCTAAAATTATAGTGTACAGATAATGTATTTTGGTGTAGAGAGTATATTATTTTTATATTATAGTTCACGTTTTCAATAATATCTGTGCCTTATTTCTATTCTAAGAAAGAAACGCTCGAACTTACCCATAAATGCATAACTAAATCGCTGGGTAGAAATTGAAAATAGGCTATTTAATAACGTAGACATACACACATAAAAGATTATTTTAAAGAATTATTGAGGAAAACAAATTGCTTACATAGTTTTTTACACATTATTCATAACTTGACACATTTCGAATTAAAACCGCTAAAAATTAAGGTGTAATTATTAAATGGATGAATACTAGAAATAATAAATGATAAAAAATTTATAATAATAACAGCATTCAGTCCTCGAACATACAGTTATCACCAGAGCATTTGCAAGGTGCCCTTTAAAATTTTAGTCATATTGGTCCATAAAAAAGAGATTTGTAGCTATGAACCAAATATGTTGAAAAACAAATATATTATGTGTCGGTCAGGTCAGGCTCTTTATACCTTTAACAGCTCCTGTTCGCTCGACAGTGGTACAAACGTGACTAACACAACGCCCTCCGCCTGCTCGGCAAGGTACACATTTGGCCACAAAAAATTTATGGGGCGAACCCGACAAAAAAAGGTTTGTCATTAAAAATTATAACAAATTTGTACTGATATGTTTAATACAGACATATACTCGTACAAAGACATACTTTTTAATTTGGTACCATAATCTGTCAACTTCGAACTAAAAATAGACATGAAAATCATTCTGACCTAATGAATTTTTACAACAGTAGTGCGTGGTAGTGCGTGAGCTATTTCTCCGTTTTTCTGTGTTACTTTGAAATAAAAAGGTGAGTTTTATACTTTTGTGTATTCCTGGTAATAAAACATACACGTAGATATACGAAGGCGGCACTGAAAATTTCGGGACTCAAGGAAGTGGCACAACATTACTATTTAAGAATGTATTTATTGCTTTTCGAAGTATTCTCCGCGAAATTTGACACATTTTTCCATACGATGGAACCAATCATTGAAGCAACCATTCCATTCTGATGTTGGGGTCTCCAAAATGGCCGTTTTGTAGGCGTCCACAGCTTCTTCAGGTGATAAAAATCTCTGTCCATGCAATTTATTCTTTATTTTAGGGAAAGTATAGAAATCATTAGGGCTTAGGTCGGGGCTGTACGACGGATGGTCTAATAATTCTATTTTTTCTTGCTCTAAAAATTCTTTTGTTCTGTGTGCGGTGTGAGAACTCGCATTATCGTGATGGAGTATGATGCGGCGGTTGCAGTTCTCTTTACGGAGTTCAGAAACGACCTGTGGCAAACAAATGCTACCATACCATTGCATTAACCGTTCTTTGTCCCTCAAGAGGAATAGTCGTAACATGGCCGGTTTTGGAGAAAAACGTGGCCGCCATTTTCTTTGCAAGAATCCGTGAACGAACAATTTTTGTTGGCTTTAACTCATTTTCGAACACCCAAACTCGTGACTGGTTTTTTGTTTCGGGTTCGTACGCATATATCCAGGATTCGTCACCTGATATGATGTTCTATACAGCATTTGAGGATCCTGCATGGAATCTTTCGAGAGTTCTGACGCACCAAGTAACGCGAGCCGCTTTTTGCTCTTCACAGAGCGAATGTGGTATCCATCGGAAAAACAACTTTTTTACACCTAATTGTTCATCCAAGATTATTTGTATTTAACTCATGCCAATGTCTAAAGTTGTCTGAATTTCGCGGTATATCACATGTCGATCTTACTCAATCAGCTTACGCACAACATCAACGTTTTTTTGGGTGACTGCAATTTTTGGACGACCTTGACGGGGATCATCACTGAGCTTGACACGTCCACGTTGAAATTCAGCAAACCAGCGATAAATTGTGGTTTTGGATGGCGCTTCATCACCAAATGCAGAAATCATCCGGTCAATACACCGTTTTGTGTTAAACCACTTCGAAAGTTATAATAAATCATCGCTCTTGAATTTTCTCGAGTCAATTCCATTTTCTTAACGACTTAACAAGTTTGACAAAACCTTGTGACAAGACCGAGAATCTTTTTTTAAATAAATAAATGGTATTCGATTTTTAAAACCAAGGAGTTTTCAATTAAAAAGATTTTAATATGACAGAAACAGTGGAAATATTCCATTCCCGATACATTTAGTGCAGCCTAGTATATAATTTGTGGCATAAAAAGTGAAAAGTAAGTGCCAAATATACTTCGAAATCGAGAAGGCCTATTCTAGCGGTTGGGTCAAAAATGTGTTATTTTTCCAATTCTCATTTATTTTTAGTGTAAAATGTAACAAAAAATAGTTTTATAACATATTTCAAATAACTTGACGTTGCATGTATTTCAAATTCACACAAAAATATCTACCCAGACAGACGCTTGGGCAGTACAGGAATCCTACCACCTAGTAAAAGTCTGAAATATTAAAGAAGAATTAAAGTCCGGACTTAGATACTGTTTTGTGGAAAATATTTATTATTTTGATAAGGCTTTTACTTTTTATTAAAAATTAAATTTTTGATTCTTTAGAGTAGACTAAGGAATATCACAGCTTAATGTAATCAATAGAATATCTTGTTATTTGTGTTATATTTCAAAGATTATCTAAACTTTATATTTAAGATCAAATATATCAATATTGATATAATGTTGTTGCAGTTTTTAAAAATCCGGGGAAAATTATCCTTCTACTTAAATTTGAAATTATCCCAAAATGAATATGATTTATGTTGCGCTCCTCTCTTTGCAATCCAATTCACAACGTTTTTTCCGACTAAGCGACCCTTACGAATGTGTTCATGCGTAGTGAAATAGTAG